CACCTACTCCACAATTTTGACTTATTCAAAAATTTTTCAGAACTATAACCTCTCTTAGTCCTTGTCGAACCAGATCTTCTTCTACTTCTAAAACCTAACAAGAAGATACTCAATCTGTTAATACTGAAGCCTCAATTACAGAAGAAGCTGTTTTATTGCCAGTACATACTGTAGATAAAGAAATTACTACAACTACCTATTCTTTTGAGCAGAACTATCAATCTCATTACCTATTAATTAAAACCTAGTCTGCTATCAAAATGTCTTTACCTAGACCTCTTAGATATTTCTGTTCAACTTTTACTTATTCTTCACTTTATTCTTAAATTCCTGAAACAACCACTATCTATAATTATCTCTCTCAAGAAGACTTAGACTATTTCGAATGGCCAGGAACAGAAAATTTATTCAAGCAAAGTTTCTTATCCTTACCTAAATAAACAGCTTCCAAACAAATACTAAATTCAGATAGTTCAGATACTGAAAAAGAAGCAAATATGGGTGACTTAGAACAAGCTGCTCAAGCTACGATCCAATTAGCTAAAGCTATTGGAAGAGAAGGAGAAGCAAAAAAATCTCTTATCAAGATTAAACTATTTAGAGAAGATGATACTAAAAATCTTATCAATTAGATCAATGAATTTGAATGAGCTGCTATTGCCAATAACTAGAGTGCTGCTAGAAAACTTGCTATCACTAAAGCCTATATATATGATAATACAGAAGATTGGTTAAAAGGAACAGGAGAAGAAATCTAACAATATGATATTAGTGATGCTAATAATCAATTCAAAACAAAATTTTTGAAACAATTTATAACTACCAAGAAGCGAGCTATGTGGCAACAGGAATTTTTCGATCTAAAACAAGAAGCAAATACTGTAGATATCTATGCTACCCAGTTTAAGAAATTACAAAAAAAAGTAAACCCAGATCCAGAACATGCTTTCCCTGACTTTTTCATTGTTTAGCTTTTTATTAAAGGATTGTGATCTGAATATACTATTTCTGTTCAAGCATCATCCTCAGGAAACTTAGACACTGCTATTACTACTGCCAAATAATGAGAAACTAGAAGATTAATGGTCTTAGCAGAAGACCTAGTAATGAATACCATTAGTAATCTTACTAACCACTTTGACAAATTAGCTATTAACATAGTTTAACAGCAACCAGAACCAACTGAAACCTGCTTACACAGCTAAAAGAAAATCTGGTTTCTCTTATCAAAACACTTTAATCAGGGTAGAGCCCTTTGCTATTATTGTGAAAACCCGGGACATTTCATTGCTAACTATAGAAAAAGACATAATAATAACCAAAGAAATAGAAACAACGGAAGAAGAACTAACAATAATAATAATAGAAGAAATAATAATAACCGTTACAATAATAACAATAATAGAAGAAACAGAAATAGAAGTCAATCTCGTGATAGAAATTATAGGGATAGAAGCTAATCAAGAGATGGAAATTACAGAAGCAGATCTAGAGACCAAAGTCAAGATAGATAGGGACCCAGGTCTAACTGCTCACTATCATCTTACTACCAAAATATTAATATAGCTGAAAAGCAACCTGTCTCTAATTTCAACAATTAGAAAAGATTGTTAGACAATTATTCTATTAGGATTGCTCTAACCATCTACATCACTAAAGCCAATAGAGAAAATACTAAACCTCAATCCATTAGCACCATTACTCTTGTTAAATGCTATATTGATATCCAAGACTGTATCTACCCTGCTATTATTGACAGTGAAGCCTCTGTCAATATGATCTCATATCAAACTGTAAAGAAACCAGGCCTCAAGATTGAGGAACTATCAAAAAGCCTTATTGTTGCTACTACTAGTACCACTTCTAGACCTCTTAGAATTATTAGAAATTTGCTTATTAGGATCCAAGATCGACTTATCCCCTTGGATATAGAAGTTGTACCTGCTACCTCTTATTCTATTTTACTTGAAAATGATTGGTCAAAGAAAATAAAAGCCAATTATAATTAGAAAACATGCCAATATACTTTCT